TTTTCTCTTATTACTTTGAATTTTAACATCTGAGTTTTCTCAGAGTAGATATGTCCTTGAAATATTCATTCAAAAGGTGAGAATGATACTGATATTTTTGGAGTTTTCAAAATTCCATTGATTCATCTGTTCTTACCGTTGGTATGCCTATTACGCCCTTCGTATCCATCTGTTTGCCTATATACAAAATAGCTAAGCCAACCATCTCATCGTCATTATTAAAACAGGCAATTGACATATTTTTATTTAGCAGTGATTTCCAATGAGCTCTACTTTTTTTAATATGAGAATCGTTGATAGTAATACCTATTTGCGATTAAACATTTACAAACATAAGTTCATATATGAAGGGCACTATAAAAAGAGCAATTCATACCCAAAAATCTACATATTGTTTTGTCTTCAAGAAGTTTTTGTCTCAAATTTAATGCCTCTTCAAATCGTTCACTTGGTACGTTTCGAATTTGATATTCAACCACTTCATTGTCATATTTATCTAGGGCGTCAAACGTCGTCCAAACATTAGTCGGATCATAAGAACTTGTGGCAACACCTTTTCCTTTATCTTTTTTTGGTGCTGCTTCAGTTATATTCGACAAAAAAAATCCAATAAATATAACAATGACTAACTTTCTTTTCAACATTTTTATTTCGCAATAAAAGGTCGATATTTGGAAAAAATAATTTTGATTTGAAAAGAAAAATTAATACAAGTCAGTTATAGAACTTACGGATGATTACTGTAGACGAGATACGATTTATATACGAAACATTCAAACATGTAAAGTCATGTATTGAACGCAGATGTTATTTGTTAATTGGAATTATTTCGTTGTAAAAAATATTCCAAAAATGTTGGTAAATATTCGCAAGTTTCATCTATGTAGAAGATGAAAAGAATAAATAATAATACTGCTTATAAAGCTATAATCATGAAAATATTATGCTAGGGGGTAGACATGATTCATTTTATTCACTGTGATTCAAAAGATTCACATTGTTTAGATGACATTTGAAATGTCATTTATGTGTCATACAAGAAATATTTATTGAACAATTAAAAATTTTTGTCTTCGAAAAAATGATTTCTTGACGTTTTTTTTTTAAATGTATTAACTCATTATTTTTTTGTCTATTTCGTGTTTTTCTAGTAAATTCCAAATAAAATCAACCATAATATTTACAATTTGTTGAACGATCATGTTAGTAAAACCAAAAGTGATGCTTATTTGACATTTGAATGATTCATTTGATTCACTGTGATTCACATGATTCAAAGTTTTATAATTCGTGTCTACCCCCTAGACCTTATGCGATGATAAATGACGTCAATATAAAACAAATTTCATTTAAAAAATGTACGTAATTGATGTAAATGTGCGTATATTGATGATACTATTGATTTTCTAGCGACTGCTGTTGTAATTATTCAATGAAAACACGGACGATGACAGTCAAATCATTCGATTACAAATAAAAACGTAGTTTAAAACAACTGTATTGATGATACTGTTCACTGTACATGTAATTTAAATTAATTTCAACATTTTTCAAAATTGTAAGGGGTTCATTTCTAATTTTTTCTCATCTTTTTAATTTTTGGTCCAAATCCCAGGCTTTTTCGATTTTTTTGGTGAAAATCCAATTTTTTTCTTAATTTGTAAAGGGGTCATTTCCAATTCCATTCTTCAGGGGAGGGTAATCAGACCATCCGAACCCTGATCAGAAGCTATGCATATCACCGAATCGAATAAAGAAATACCATGCTATTAACAAAAAAAAATATTTAACACAGAAACGAAATAATACTCCAAAAGATTGTGCTTCCGAAAATGTTGCAAAAAATGTGTTCATTTCGAAACGATCGGAAATCTTCAAATTTCCACAAATTCTTTAGTATTTCCATTTCGTAATTTTTATACATTTATGAATCTTTGACCCATTTTTCTCAATCTTTTAAAACAACATTGCAAATCGGAGAAATTCTTTTGTTTCATTTCATTTTCGGTAAAACGTAAATTCATTACGTAATTCCCTCCCGTTAATTGATTCCATTTTAAGTCGAGCGCAAAAACTGAATATTGAAAAGCGTGCTATGGTACACAGACAAAAATATGAGAAAGTCAATGTGATCTAGAATTCATCGCAATCACGTTTCATACGGGTTGAAAGCGTCAGGGTTTATGCAAATGTTGGCTCTATGACAATTTCAATTTCATTTAGTTTGAAGGAATTTGCGTGCAATACGAACTGATGTGCGTTCCATTTAAACACTTTTACGGGTTTTCTCTGTATGGTAATGATGATGATGATTATTATTATTATTGAGAGAATGGGCTGGTTGCTCCAGTGTCTCTCAATACACACACACTGACTTGTCGATTTGGAGCATTTAGATGCGTATGCATGCGATACAAACACATAAGTCACAACTGCTGTCAAAAATAAATTAAATTTCGAGAGAACACGACGAATTGGCGAAAGGGGGGAAGCAAGAGAGACAGAGAGAAGGGCAAAGAGCAAAAAATGTATATTTTGTGTGTTGCGTATAAAAATGCCAGCTAAGATTTTCTTTTGGCATATTTCATGTCATCTATTTACTTTAAAACTTTATCCTTCTTTTTTCGTATCATTTTTTTTTTCTTTCGGTGTGTGTGTGTGTTTGGGGGTTGTTTTTCAAATTTTCTTCAATTTTCAGTCCTTTGTCTTACCTTTGTATCTTTAATAAGTTTTACGCTTTTCACATTCAAACAACATTGGCCCAACTTTACAAAACTGCACAACATGACAGAAAAAGTGTATATCTGTGTGCATGCGCGTGTTTTTGATTCTCTGCTCATTTTCACAGTGCCACAGTAAAGTAAAACATGCAAAACAAACGAAGGAATACAGAATTGAAGATGACACAAAATCAGACGAAACTTGGGTATTATATCGCATTTATTTGCATAAACTGAAAAGCCTTTAAATTACGTTTGCATTCTTTTGAATTGAAATTTAATCGAATTTCTGACACAAAAATACGCATTTAGATACCGATAGTTTTTTATTTCGTATTTTTTGTAGACAACGGATGATAATTTATTCATTTATTTAATATGAATTTCTCTCTCTATCTATTTATCTTGGAGTTTTCATATAAAAAATCGTTTTTTTGCGCATTTTTCTTTATGCTTATGCATTCACTAATGGTTTACGTTTACATTATTGTGACAGAATTTTAAGCGCATCAAAGAAATATTTTTCCAATGATAAAACTGATACGAACCAAATTCATAAACGCAACGAAGTTGAAAAGCGGGTAAAAACTTTTGCTTCCCTCTGTGGCATATTATACAAAATATGACATGCTTCATTGGGATGTGTCGTTCGTTAAGCTTTCCATTCTGTCTCGCAACGAAATTCCAGTTTAAAAGACCTCACGGTTAACTAAGTATGATAAAAATTGATTGCCATTTTTTTTATTTATTCATGACATAAAATTTATCATCATTTTTGCAAGCATTTCTTGTCCGCTCTTGTCGTTTTGATCAAGTTTTCATTCGGGTGTCGTTTAAACGGTTTCATATGTACTTAAAAAAAGATTTCTAATGGACTTATTTGAGAGCGAAAAAACGACATAATTTTGAAGCGTTTTTGTTTACATTTTTTTGTCACTGCAACGATATTTCTGGTTTATATTTTTTTTGGAGAGAATGCATGTCATATGCCTTTCAGGAGGAAAGCAAAAGATAAATAGAGTCGATAGAAAGTTGGTGAAGAAACTCTGGCAAATATAATCGATAAGTTTTGCAGAATCATACACAACACTGTTTCTGTCCACTCAGTGGAAAAATCTCCGAAATAAGACGAACAAGTGGTTAATTTTCTTTTTGTCATCTTCACAGATTCCATCGATATACCATACTTGAAATATTTTCAATTTAGCACATTCCATTTCAAATGAAAATGCCATAAGTTTATAGAATGCATTCATTTCCGAGGCTGTTGATTTAAATGGGATTTTTGTCTTTTTTGTCCCTCATGCTTGTCAAAAACTCGTTATTTCTTTGAAATGAATTTGTGCAAGAACATTTTTAACATATGAATCGATACAACGGATGTATGCAAGCATTAAAATCTTGCTGGCTTCCATTAAAATCAGTTTGTATCATCAGCAAATGTGTCGAATTGTGTTTGGCACATCGAAAACAATGATGAAATGAATTGCAATATCTCTATCATCAACGCATTCTCTCTTAAGCATACATATTTGAATTGCTACAAAAATTCCGGCACTACATACAATACCAGAGATGTCACCGTTCTTGTTGTCGTCGTCGTCGTCGTCGTCGTCGTCGTCGTCGTCGTCGTCGTCGTCGATGCTATGCAGTTCCGTTGAAGCTGATGTGTTCGGCTTTGCTTTGATAAATTGGTACAACCAATTCTATTTTCGATTCATTCCGCATTAATACAATATGACATGGACCCAATTCAATCCTCAACATGCTTGTTCTTGATCCAATTTCCACAAAAATTCCTGCATTAAAATTGACTCGGAAATACACACATTCAAACACTTCACATTTTCGTTCATACTCGCATACATTTCACGGTTCACATGTTATGCAAACACAATTCTCCATAGCTCGAATACATGGGGAAATAATACCGCATCCGAAACATAGATTCAATTTATCGATAAATAAACGTTTTCTCTTCATTTGCTGTGCACCACATTGAAATCGTGTCAATGTTGAATGATTTTCAAAAAAAAATGTGTTGAAATTCACAAACGTGTATATGAAGTAGTACCGAGTATATTTTATAAAGTGGATTTATAATTATCAAGTTTTACAATGGTCTATGACGGCAGCGATTTTTGTTTCTGGCATCATCTTGAGTACGAATACAATTCACCATGTGCAAACAGAATGTGTCCACTAGTTGGTGTGACACATTTTCTTACCAATTCAATATTAATGTTTATTTAACGCATCGATGGCACTCTTAATATTTTTTCAATTTTTCGAATTTCTTTCAATCAAACAACAATCAAAACGAGAGCCAAAAAGTTTCAACATTTGACAGACGACCGTCTTCAACAATATTTGATGTAACATTCCATCGTTTTTATTCAATTCCTCCTTTTCAATTTCAACATCGGAAATGTTGAAAATGAGATTTCTTACACATATCCAACCATCCACATAAAAAATTATCAGCACATTATTGAATAATGTATGGAATCATATCCGTATAAAATAGAAAATTGAACAATGCAAAAATCACATATAGATGAATAGAAAAACACAATGACGTCACACAATTTATCATGAAAATGACATATAGAATTTAATATACAATTCGTTGGCATAGGTGTGTTCACGTAAAATGGACTTTCTAGAGGAAAAGCCTCCATTTTGGTGAAAATCGGGGTTTTCCAATTTTCGACCTTATTTTGGATAAAATTTGAAAATTAAAGTATGCCATCGGATACTACATGGTAAGATGAGATCTAGAACTTTTGGGGCGTTTCCTCCTCCTTCACCCTCAAAATTACGTGTGAAATAGCGTTCTATAGCCGCACAAAATACGAATTAATTCGCAATTGTACAAATAGATCAAGTGGAAAAATTCGCGCTGTTCATTTTATGCGCATTGATAAAATCATGCATTTAGCATATCACTTCATAT